AGCGTCTGCGGCTGTGGGCTGCGGTCGTGGAGCTTGAGGAAGCGACTGGATCTCTCGTGTATATAAGGCCCCTATAGGCCCTAGGAGCAAGGACGCTACTAGGGGCACCTGGCCTTACTGCTAGGAGCAAGGATGCTACTAGTAGGGCTCCGACTAGCTTCGTTTTCGGTGCTTGGGGTGGGTTTCGCCGACTACCTTCCTTAGAAGTAAGTGGGGAATGTACCCGGACCTGAAGTGAAGAGAAACAGAATGGGGAGAGCCTCTTTGGGAGAGCCGAAATGGATAGCCCCAGTCCCCCAAGCCGTCCCTCCGGACCCGACCACCCACATCGCCTCCTTCGGTCACAAGTACCATCGATTTGCAACAGCTTTAGTCTTAGCTAGCCGCTTTAGCTTCTGATTCTTTGATACCACTTAAGCCTCCCCAGTAAGATCAGCGGCAACAACTAAGGGAAACCGATCAGCGGCAACAACGAAGGGAAACCCAAGGATTTGCCGGTGTTCCACGACCTTCGTGGGCAGGGTTACTGATTTACAGATTTACACCATATGACTTCGGAACAAATGGGCGTCCCAGCCCACCACAAAGCCATCAAGCTCCACCTTGCGACCGAGGAGTGCGGGCATGCAACCACTCTCTCTTGCATCACCGTCCCCTTTGCAGATACATGTAAGACGGTTCAAAACCATTCAAGCAAGACCACAGCCATCTGAAAGCTGGAACACTTCTTTCTCTGAAACAAAGTGAGCAACACGTGGCATTTCTTGATGTTGAAGGATTCAGATTCCAAAGAGTCCACCCTGATCCCCCAAACAAACCATCTAGAGAAAGGGTTCTATTCATTTCTATTCCATACATGGATGTGTTGGGCTCGGTAAAAGTGGATGGATTGGCGTGGCAGATCCACTACTCAGCAGTCGCCGCAAGTGGCCCAACTGGTGGCACCCAGTCTTCATCACAGACATCGTCGACATGCGAAATGTCCACTGCCAACGTGCCACGAAAAGGCAACAGCGGCAACAGCCGGAAACTGCAACTGTCCAAGTGTCGCTAAATCCGTCCTCACACCTCATGACAGCTCCGACCAGATCGAACTGCCAATATCGGATATTGCTCGTGCCGAGTTGAGTCCTGTTAGAGTTCTCTGCTTGTGCTTCCAGTATTTTGCCGACACGAAAACCACCGAACACCTCCGCCGTCCGCCGAGCCATGTGGTCTTCGTCTACGACGACGGCCTCCACCCAAACGTCGCCCTCAGCGACCGAGAGGTCCGCACTGTGGCAGCACACCTGGTGCGCCGCGTCAAGCGGTTTTTTTCGCACGAAGACCAACCACTAGCCTTTTCCGAGAATTCAACCGTTAAAGACTCCGACTCACTATGGTTTCATGCAATATATCCTGGTTTGTTGTCTTCCTTTTTATCTCGAGTAAGGTTTACTGGAGTTCACCCTCTGTTACTTCAACCGCAAGCCCATGCAAGTTGAGCCTGAAGAGACGCATGGGGCAAGTAGGTGAGTTCTATAGATTCTATACATCTTTCTGTGATCCAGTGTCGCAGTGCCGACCCAGCTGCAAAGGGATGTCCTATCCATGAGCAATCCCGGAGTGGCGAAGCCAAACAATTCTTACTAATCCCGAGTACCTATTTAAAAACGGACCCCTATTAAAAAAAAATCATGCCGGATCTCCCTAAAATCGGTTTATATTTGGTTTTAAATTACCGCCCTTTCAAGCCGCTACAACATATGGTCGATTTTGGGGGTAGTTTTTTTTATTAGGTTCCCCAAAACTCCCTCAAAGTAGGTCCCAATACACCCTCAAAATCGACCATGTTGCGTTGCAGACTCTCCGCTGGCTCTCCTAGTAGCGATGCCAGGAGCCCCTAGTAGGGGCCTTGCTCCTAGTAGCGATGCAAGGCCAACAAAGTACTGCACCTGCCACGAAATCTGCACTTCAAGGCCAACAAAGTACTGCGCGCGCAGCGAATTCTGCACTTCAAGGTCCATAAAGTGCTGCGCCTGCCACGAAATCTGCACTTCAAGGTCAACAGAATACTGCACCTGCCACGCAATCCGCATTTCAAGCTCCACAAAGTACTGCGCCTGCCACGAATTCTGCACTTCAAGGTCCACAAAATATTGCACATCCACTCATTTTGGGCCCCCCGATTTCAGGGACCCCCTATTAGAAAAAATGCGACCGAGGTTTCCTTATTAGGGGGGGGGGCCCGTGGTGGACCGGATTAGGAGGACCCCAAAGCTCTAAAGGGCCAAAGGAAAGATAAGGACAGTCCTATACAAACAGCTCTATATATCTATATATATATCAGTCCCCAATACTTCCAGTATCTGCCAGTCCTTTTACATTTCGAGCCCTGCGAGACCGACAGCCTCGATCATGGGCCATGCAGCAACCTGCCGTGTTCGTCGTCTCGCCGGTGGAAGGACACCGCAACAGCTGTCGCTGCTTGCTACAGCACGGTTACTGAAGATCTTGCCGGAATTATTAGATGGTCATGATCGGACCCCCGGACTCAACCGAAAAGCCTTCAAGCAGGTTTTGTCTATAGCTCATGATATATTAATTCTTCAGGTGTGAATTGGGCTTTGAGGGTAATTCAAGCGATTCCGAACTGGAGTGCGCAAAACTGGGCCGAACTCGAACTGAGATCAGCTTCATAGATCAACCATGAACAACCACACCCAGGCCAAGCTTTTTTGCATGGGATTATGAAGAAGATGGCCCAACAAAATAATGAATTCGCTACAGTAGAGTCCAAATCACTTCGTTTGGAACTTTCAGATCACCCACATGAAGTTCACAGAAGCTCCTGCGTTCGTTGAACCAATCTACCTCCTCGCGCACTCACTTGATGTCTAAAACATAAAAACATATTAAACTAATAAAGCATATTAAAGCCATCATAAGCCATCCTTCTCTCTGAGTCTCCCCCTGGCTGAAATATTCATATGTCCATTGAAGCCTAAATGAAGAGTGTGTGGAGAAAGGGGGTCAAAAAAATGTTTACACCAAGTCCATAGTGTATCATAGAGACCTTCCACAAAGTTCTGCGAAGGTTTCTGGTTCTTTGTTACGATTATATTATATAGTTTTCCTACTGGCCAACCATTCCACGAAACGTCCCCGAATATATAGTTCCGGGTTCCACGAATGTCCCAGGCCTTCCACGATCTTAGTAGAATAGGTGTTTGCATGTGTTTGCAAAAGTATTTTTGTGAACGAGTAACAACCAGTTACAAGTGCATCACTACTACCCTTCCGTTGGCGTTTTCGTCTCTTCCTCCAAATCATCGTTTCTCTCCAAATGGCTTGGTGTCACACCAAAGCCACCCCCGTCGTCATCCCAAGTCCAACGGCCTCTGGCCGTTGTGGCCCGGTGGCATCGGCATTGGACGCCCGTTGAGCTCTGAGGGACGCGGGGCCCAGGGGACCAAGTTGGCGCCCAGTGGCTTGGGCTGGCTCAAACTGTTTTTATGTGCTGATTCCGAAAAAAACAAGTCCTGTGAGGCTAGGCTTGGGAGAAGATGAGGACCTAAAACACTGGCGATGAAAGGGATCACTGGGCGAGGCGGGTGACAGAAGGATCATAGTTTGCTGGTCAAAGCCACTAGTTTTCATCCTTCTATCTTATGCTCGGATGCCTGTGGGGGTTCTGACTGGCTTCTTCAACATTGCTTTAACATGTCAAGTGCTGTTTCAGTGAAAAGTGGTCGAACGTGCACTCGTTTCAAGCAATCTGATTTGAAGGGATGTTGGTTTCTGCTGTTTGGGTTTCTACATCTATTTCTTCAACACCACCTGTCCATGTTTTCATATATATACCCTGGAGCAAGCGATGGCAAAAGGAAGTCCATGTGACGCATGTGACTGCTGGATGTCATTACTCTCAACCCTTTCAAATAACACTACAAATCAGCCCCCCTCAAGAACCTTCGACAAATCTATGGCTCAATCCCTGCCAAAACGTGACTGCACTTTAGCCAACTTGAAAGATCCGTTGAGATGTGGCAGTGGGCCCCGCCTGAAAAACAACTTATCTCATGCCAAATGAATCAAAATGATGGCTTTCACACGCCTCCGCTTCCAGGGGATTCACACGCCTCTTCACCATCTTAGCCGTTTTTCAAAGCAACCTCCTCAGGTCCCTGGACGCGACCATTTTCACAAACAAAAGGGTGTGTAGATAGGGAGACCTCCCGACCCGCAAGCAGGAAAATAGACCAGTCTACCCAGCCACGGCCAGGGCATCTCCCTATTACAATACACACCCAAATACAAAGCACATTCCTCTAGCTCTTGCTACCTCTGGTGATGACGAAATTCGGGGAATCGTCCAGGGACCCTTCTGCGCAGGTGTTTGGAGCCCGAGAGCATCTCATTTCTGCGATACTTCAAGCCACAAAGTTTGGAATTAAATCCAAAGGTTGAAGGACGCTACGAACGGGGCTCCTGGCCTTATTACTAGGAGCAAGAAGCTACTAGGGGCTCCTGGCATCGCTACTAGGAGCAAGGACACTACTAGGACCCGTAGGCTTGACTATCCCAGTTGGGTACCCCAGGTCACTGGTCCTATAGGTCACCGGGCAAACCTCTGCCCGTTTCCTGAGCTTCAAATTGACGCCGTGGAGGGGACCAGTAGAAATGGACCTATGATGGTGAGGCAGTTGAAATGAACCATCTTTGCATGGCCGCTTGTACCCACAAGGGTATATGATATAACGTATGCGGCGTATGCAGTATGATCATTATCCGTTTTGGCGGTGCAACTCAGTGCGCGATAGGTCCCAGCACCCTGCGATGTACCCTGCCCAAAGAACTACGTACCTATCCCTACCAGCCAAGGCTGTGAAGGAACACATCCAATCTAATCATGAGCCCAAAACACTTAGGTCAGTGGATTCTTGGCTACTTAATGTCTTGAAAGGAATTCCTGGAATCACCCCGGCTGTTTGATCCAGTTTTCCTCACCCTGACCATCCCTGACGCATCCAAACCCAATGAAAAAACACCCTTCACCCTGCGCTGAACTGGTCTTTTCTCTTGTTCATCGATCTGCATCCCCCAACAGATCGATTGCTGCATGTCGCTGCCACGTCGCGACCTGTTTCAGTGCCATCTTTGGGTTTCAATCCAGCTGATCACAAGCAGCACAGGACACAATATTGACAGCTCACCTTCTTGCCGCAAATGAATTCCATTGGAATTCTTGATTCACATTGATGCTTGATCATCTTGATCCAGTGTTGTACTCAAACAAATCCGTTTTCCCCCAGTAACCTCTCGGTGGCAAGCCCAGCGATCCAAGCCCAAGCTCCCCATTGGGCCGCTGGAGCTCCGTGTGATCCTGAGGATCTCGCTCGCTGCGCTGATCGGCGCTGAGATCTCGGTGGCTGGAGAGGTCAACGGGAGAACAGCATCGCTACGAACGGAGCGATCGGACGCTACGAACGGGGATCCTGGCCTTACTACGAACGGAGCTTTTTTGCCAGCAGTGCTGCTTGGCAATGGGTGGCAACAGGGTCCGAGTACACTGGAAGCATTACCTTTGCATCTGCCTTCATGTGACATATTTTGTTGCAAAGGGTGCCTTCTGCCTTCGTTCGCGAACCCTTTTGGCTTTCAACAGTTCCCTCCAGGGATGAGAAAGAACTACGGATATTATATAATGTATATAATTCCAGAAGCGATGAACAGTGTCTCCACACTGCAAGAAAAGCAACAATCACGACAAAGGATTTCTTGCATATGCAAGTTGCCTTCGCGAAGAATAGCGTTGTGGGGCCTACGCGATTTGGCTTGGCATGCCTTCGCGCATGCACAAGTGGGCTATGATGCAGTTCCACTTTCATTCAAACCTTTACATGCCAATGAGAAACACTGCTCGTCCGTTCTTTGGCAGCCAGACCTCAAGGCTTAGGCGTCACAGAAAGGACTCGAAGGACTAGGTGAAGGTTGAAGGGTGACTGGGCAAATGGAGAAAGCAAAGAACTAAGAGTGCAGTCGTACATGGCAGCCGTAGTGCCAATTTCTTAATTAAAGAAAACAGCGAAATGAGGTATCCCCCTCAAAACCGCACCATTTCGCCGCGGTTTCGATGGCAGTCCAGAAGATCAGCTGCTCCAAGCACCGCAGCAGCCGTGAGAGGGGGGCCCTGGCAGGGAGTGTGTACTTCTTGCTTTCGGGTGCCAAGAGTGTGACCACCTTTGAATGGTATACCTGTCTGTTTGGCTGGCTACACCAAACATCACAGAACAACGAACTTCTGGATGTAGGAATAGAACCGGGCATGGCTCTATATGTATCTATGGTTATTACTGATAGGTACCACCTTACATTTTCACCGTCCTTTCAACATACTTCAACCTAAGCGCTCGATGACTTGCATATTTTCCTCAGAGCGCCAACCTCAGCAGGCTCTCTGGGATTCAAGGACCAAGGGACGGCGTCGAGCCAGAACCACTTAAATCGTGTTGTGCAGTCCCCTGGTCCTCATCTGATGACTCATCTCATGTCCAGTGATTTCATGTGATCCTCATGACTCACCCTTGGCAATCATGTCATCCTCATCTGACGTCCAGTGCTTTTCATCCAAAGCCTTTCGCATCCCCCCATGTCACCCATTCGGCCCGGCCGGCTCTACTGGAGGTGCCTTGAGGCCGGGCAGACCCAAAGTCCTGGCGATGGTTTTCTTTGGCAAAAAAGAACGTTGATGTGCATCCTTCTAAATGGATCGGATTTTTCGCTCCGACGTTCTCAGAAAAACTCAAAGGGACTAGGCTTTGCACCGGAGACTGAGCAGGTAAAATCCGTGGAACCTTGCGGCTGCCGGGTGGGAACGAACACAAGGATTCTTTAAGGATTCTTTTGGGTCGAACGCAGTTACCGCTGCGGTCTAAAGGAATTAAAGGCCCCCCTCTAGGTCTTTGGTTTTAATCTACGGAACCATTGACTACTTGCAAACTAGTAGGCTTCCTGCATCCAATGTTCGCACCGGATGGTACCGGACGGGTCATTCTGATTGCAAGCTCCATCCGGTGGCAGCGACTCTAGACTTCAGCCACTTGTGGTAACCATTCCTATAGCTACTAGTAGCGTCCTTGCTCCTAGTAGTAAGGCAAGGAGCCCCTAATAGCTTCTTGCTCCTAGTAAGCGATGCCAGGAGCCCCTAGTAGCGTCCTTGCTACTAGTTCAACCTTTTTCTCCACCGCATCACCAAGCTCGTGGCGCAAGCAGTTCGGGCGAAGATTGTGCAAACACACCTTGCTTTCACGCTGGAATTCGGCGCGTGGTGCCATTGAGCCGCCGGGAAAAACCGGCCTCATCCCTCAAGCCAGCTGGCAGGATGCGATAGGCGCAGGAGTTGTTGGCCTGCTGGCGCCATGGAGTTGGATCTTGACATACTAGGAGCAAGGACGCTACTAGGGGCTCCTGGATCGAATGGAGGTCTCTCTTCCCCCCTCCTCTCTCTCTCTCTCTCTCTCGCTCTCTGTGGGTTTGGCTCTGCAGTTGAACTTCCAAGTTCTTTAATTGCAGGTGTTCAGTATGGGTAGGACAGTTCAATCTTCGAAGGCCGTCTGCGGGTGGATGGGACCACCACCACCACCACCACCACC